ATTTTTAAGATGTTAGTTTGTATAGGAGTAAGGTGGTCTAGTTCCAAATTTTCTACATTTGAAGATACTCTCAAAATTTGTGTATTATAGTATCCAACTTTTGGAAGGAACAAAGAGCACAATGAATGTTGTTATTTGAACCAGCTTGCTCTTCCCATGTATTAATAGCCACTTACTTATGCCATAGCAACTAGGTGAACATTGCTTTCTTTTAAGAGTGTGGTTTGGATGATATGTTAATCTATTTAAAGGAAATATCATGTTCTAATAGAAAGACCACATATAACCAATGTTAAGAATGAGTAGATATTTAGATCTAACTTTTTAATACTAAGCAATTTATTAAGTCTTTATAAATATTTTTTATTTGTTGGAGACCATATGAAAGTAAAGTTGTGACTTATTGGAGATTTAGGAAGACTTCTATGAGTGAAACTCAAAATCCCACCATAAAATATATATTCCAAATCTCATGAAAAGAGACAGATATTACAATTTGGTACCTTTTATCTACTGACATTATGAGTTTGGATAGAATTGTTAGTATAATTTGTTAGATGATGGGGCAAATTGTGGATGGCTAAGAGTTGATAGATACAAGATCTGGTATGAAAATCCAAAGGAACTCAAGGGTTTCATTTTGTGACTTAATCTCTCATGAAACTAATACATGTCATTCATGGGTAGTACATGTGATTGTTATTTATTATGTTCCTTGTATTAGTTAGTGAGTCTACCTTAAGCTCATCATATTAGGACCTAATATGCATTATAAAAACTTCACTTTCTTTTCAATTAACTTTGTAGCAGATGTACCCCGTTTCATGTAAAAAAACAAAAAATAAGTCAATGGTATGAAAATATAATGTTACCATCGTATGGAGCCAAAATATATGTATGTATATCTTCCTAGTGCTCATAAAGAATGTCACAAACATTTTTTTAAATGTTGAAATATTAATAACAGAATTGATTTGTATCAAGTTCTATGTGTGCATCCCAGCCCTATGTTGCACCCTCCTCATTATGTTAATTTTATGTTGCCCAGCCCCATTCAAAATTCACTTTCTATTGTATTCTCTTGTTTTCCTTCTTCATTTGTTTTTTTTTATTTCCTCCACATCTACTGATGCATGTCAAGGGTTGTATTCTAATTTGTTGATGTCCACAACATTTTTGTGCCTTTTCTTTGCTATTTGTATACATGCTCTTCACTTTTATAATGATGCTGCTAGTGGCTAAGAGAAAACCAGAAACAGGGCAACTAATTTTAGATCCAGACCAACAAGACAAACTCAATTTAATCCCTCTTCAGCAGTGAGGGAATGAGACAGGATTGGAACTAAATGAACATTTTTTTTTTTCATGTTGGAGTCTCTTGGTTTTCTCCCATTATTTGTCAATGATTGTCTTCCTAAAAACTGAAGTTTCTAGGTCAGAAATTGTAAAACACATGCCACATTTCACCCAATGATCCTTCCATCAAACCTTATTCTACCAATATATGAGTGTGTGCATGTATGTGTATATGCACATTTACTCCTATACATTCTTAAGTTATGTATGACAAAATTCCATATCCATCCCAATCTCATGCACATGCAAATAAATTACTTCAAAGATTACCAATCTAGTTGTGCTTGTGTGTGTGCATGTGTATATACTTGGGATTGAATCAATGCAAATTTGAAGTATACATGAAAATATATTTTCAAAAGCTTTCTTCTTGAAATGTTCATGTATTAAAACTTCAAAAACGAAAAAAGGAAGAGTATTAACCATCCAAATAAATTTAAAACTCCCAGCCATTCATCCATTTGGATGTAACTCACGGGAAGAATCATCCCATTGTACCCAAATGCCTGCCACAACCCAATCGAATTCATCCTACGGCGTTCATCCACATGCAACCAAGTCCACGAAAGAGACGAAGTTCACATTCCACAAGGTTTCCATCCAGAGGATGTAAAGTCCGCCGCAACTGACAAATGACTGGTCGTTGGATGCAGCTCATCCAGCATTTTCCAGGTGTAACCGTCCGCGGCAATCTGAGCCTGTTCAGGAATGGTCACACCCAGTTCTCATCAGTGCATGGTATTAATATTTTGCGACCAGGCTCCCCCAGAGGAGAGATGTTAATGATGGGGTCTGGGTAGAATAATCTCTTACCTCATGAAAAGATCCCTTCCACAAAGGGGCCATCCCTTAGAAAGAGGCCAAGGGGGATTCCAGTTGGAATTGGTGAGCGTAAGGACATACTTCTGAACTGTTGGGACAAAGCAGACAATGTCAGCATCATTCCGGGCGAGATCTGCTTGCTTTTATTCCTCCAGATATTATCGAACCCCGAGATTGACTAATATTAGTAGAAGTATGTGGATGAATGAAATGCGTTCTTCCATCGTGGGCGGATTTTGCATCCATCTTCTCGAGCAAATGGCAGGCGCTGCAACTTGGTGGAAGCTGAGGTGTCATTTCATGGCACCCGAGAATGCAATCTGTAGTGGATAAGCTTCAAATCAGGATATCTTTACTATATGAGCCTAGCTTGTATTATTATTAAACCTTCTCATTTTCTGTAAGGGTCAATTCACATTCTCAAATATATATAAATATATATATATATATATATATAGAACATAGATCCAAGGGGATGCAGCAAACCGTCTTTGTGGATCGAAGTCCTTGGCCACAATCCAAGCTTTGTCTCTGTTCTGAAAGGACGTATTGCATATTCTTTCCTATCAACTTGTTGATTTCTCCAATGAAGATGCACAAACTTTCAAAAATCTATATCACTAGCTTTTTCATTTTTGTGTTCCCATTTAGTATAGCCCAAACACACACTTACGTGCACAATGGTGTGTTCCAATCCTAAGAAGAAGAACAAAAAATAAATAAAAACGAGAATGTTAATGATTGAAATTAACACCCAAAAAAATGAGGTTCAAAATTTTGATTAATTAAATCTGGTTTTGGAGTTATTATGTTGTATTTGATACTGAATAACATATGCTGGTATGAAGACCATGTAGTTGCTAATTGTTGGAGGATGTTTTTTTGGTCTGTTGTGGGAGCACTAGAGCAATAATAATTTTGGGCAAAAAGATGGACAAAAGAAAAAAGTGTATAGATTTATCTGGTATTGATTAATTGATATATAATAGGGCATGTTGGCATGAGACAAATTTTTTGTTCATAAGAGATCTCTAACCAAACTCAAAGTTTAAGATAGGAGAATGTTAAATAGACCCATGCTTTTACTAAATATGCCCACCCATGATGAAGAATATGGTAATCATGATGAATGTGGTTGGTTTTTATTGGTTGTAGATCCAATCGAGAAATGGAACATAACCTCAATAATTTTTAACCTCTTCTAATTTATATTTCAGAGATCATGAATTTGCTTAATGAAGAGATGGAGAGGGTGCATTGGCAAATCTTTTTTTTCATGGACAATGTACCATTGCACATTACAAATGACTAGATTTTTTCTAACATCAAAATCTATGACCTTCTTACAAATATTACTTTGAAGATCTATCTAATAGATGCTAGAATTATTATGGCATTAAAGCAGTACTATTGGTGCTTCCATTTGCAAAATGCGCTCGACAGAGACAAGCAAAATGAGCTCAACTTATACAAGGTCCATTAGTTGACAATAATATATTGGGCACTTAAGGCTTAGATAGAATTATCTCCAACAATAATACAAAACTTCTTCAAGCATGTAAGGTTGTTTGAGCAAGCATCTAAAGTTGTAGAAATTGACAATAGTGAAGAAACAATCAAAGAGGAGTTGGTGGGCATAATTCAAGGTCTTCCAATACGAAATCCAATGTCAATCAAGAATATGCTCAATCCAATTGAAGAAAATAGTACGCATATTGAACTAGATGATCACAAGATTGTTGAGCTTATTTGTCATCAACAAGCAGAGGGAGACAAAGGTGTTGACAACATCCTCAATGAAGATTTAGCAGAAGTGTTGTTCATGTGCATGGAGAATCTATAGAGTCTTTTCGTTGTTATCTCCATGCTGGACATTAGGGATGTGGGTGAATATGCTATCCACAAGTTTCTTTGCAATATTCAACAGAAGTTACATATAAAAGACCTCCAACAAAGCATGCTCAAAGTTAAGCTAGATTCTTGGTTAGGCTAGATTCTTTGTTGTTTTTTTCCCTTCCCAAAGTAATATTCTTCAATCAAGTCCAAAACCAATAACTTACAAGAATTATAACTTATCTGCAGGTAGAACCAAGTCGGTTTCTCCATTTTTGTATACTTTATTGGGGGTTATAACTTATTGGGAGATAACTTAGTACTTAGTAGAGGTAATATTGTAATTTAATTTTTTGTTGATTTATTTCTGTCAAGAAGAATCCCATTTGACAAAACAACTGATTGGATTTTGAGTCTTGGGAACAATGCAACATAGCATTTGGATCTTCAGTGCTCAAACAATTTCAAGAATGCATCAAATCATGATAAGTATTCCAATGCAAGTGCTCAACATTCATACGACCTATGTTCAGTTAATCTTAGATTTGACAATAACAACGTTTCTTGAACAAAAGATTTCCTGGTTATAAGCATCGGCATCGAACACACAGCAGAGAAGCAAGGAATCTGCGTAGTTGGCACTGGCGCTGACCGGTTCAGCTGGATTCAGTGTCTGCCCAGAAGGAAAGCCCCGCTCCGCTCCCTTGCGATGCGGCTGGAGCGGCTGCAGTGCCGAGGACGCGGACTTTTCAATCCATTTTCTACCGTGTCTTGAGGACGCAGCGCCCGTTTGACCGCGCCCAGCCTCGGGAGCCCATCTCACCAAGGCTGCCACCGCCACCCTACAGATTTACAGCCTCCGACTCTTTCCCAAGCCATCCAGACCTGCCAGTAGCCATCTCCGAACCTACTCCGCAAGTGGTGCGGGACACACGGCGCGAGCAGGAGGGTCCTGGTCGACGGCTCCAATATAATACTTGCTGCGTGTGGCAATCCCTTTCCGGAAATCGCCTCGCAACGGTGTGTTTCTTCATCGACTTGGACCATCTGAACGAATCCTTGCCTCGTTTCTCTTCTTCTGTCTCCATCGTCTCCGTAGACTGTTTGTTTTCGGGCAAAGTTCCCCACGCTCTTGGAAAGCGTCAGGTGCTTGTCGTTTTTCGCGTTGTCCGATCAAAGGAGAGTTGACGGTTCGCAACTAGCCGGTACTACTGTGTATGGTGGCCGTTGTGGAGGCTCCTGGTTTGAATGTGTCGTCAATGTGCGATTGACAACGGCTCGAACGCATGCGTGACCGATTTGTTCGTGTCCACGCAATTTGGAGGGAGAGATTCTTAGGTTGGCGGGATCATGAGTGTTGAGCGCGGGAGGTTGTGTAGTATAAGCGAAATTGTGGCTGTCATTCGGGGTAGTCGATGGTTCGCTGGACAACAGGTGCAAGCAGTCTTGCAATGGCACTTGTGACGTCGTGTGTATTCTAGGAGATAATTCTTGAGGCGCAGTGGCAACAGGAGAGTGTTTGTTACCGACTCCCATCTCGAAAGAAACCATGTGAGGCATTTGAATGCAAGTGTGAGCGTTTTAGAAGAGATCGTCACTGAATCTGCAGGTTGACGAGCGTAATCCGAAGTAGGTGGCGTTTGTTTTATTGGCCTTTCAATCCACGCATGCTAGTATTTGGAGAGTCATCGTACGAAGCAGATGCACTTAAAGCGTACTTACGGGTGACCTCTCTAGAGTACAACATTGCTACGATTGATAGAGTGTCCGTTTTCTGGTGGTGAAGTGGCTTTTCGAAGGCTTTGACGATGGGAAGAACAGGTACACATCCAACCTGCTAACTCGGTGATCACGTTTTCAGTTCTTTGCTGTGGAACTCATACGCACTAGTCTAGGCGAGGATTCGTGGAAATAGTCTATCCTTACTTACTCTCACATTTACGCACTAGTGAACATGTCTTGCTGGAGTTGCGGATTTTGATAACCCGAGAGCCTGTCCTCAAGTTTCTGTACATGCAAGACCTGACGGAAGATGTACGATATGTGTATCTTGGTGTAGGTGCCGGTAACGCGGTCAAACATTCACCTGTTGTGAAGGAGAAAGTCCGAATTGGTATCAATGGCTTCGGCAGATTCGGACGCTTGGTGGCAAGAGTCGCTCTAGAGAGAGACGACATTGAGCTGGTCGCCGTGAATGACCCTTTTATTAGCACGGATTACATGGTTAGGAAACTCATCATTTTTATTCCATTGCTGTAGTGCTATGATTCTGTCTCTGAATGTTGAAATAGAGGGCTGTTATGAAGGGACACTATACTTACCGAATGGGAAAAATGCAGGCCTACATGTTCACCTACGATTCTGTACATGGCACAAGCTTCAAATCTGATATCTATGCTCAGGACGCGAACACGCTTTCCTTCGCTGGCAAGAAGGTCGCAGTATTTGGACAAAAGTAAGTATCTCAGAAATATGCTTCGTAGGTTGAGTAATTGTGAAGCTCACGTTTTTCAAGCTTCCAGATGCGCGATGTATTTTTAACAGGACCGTTCCCTTCCACCTTGCAGAGATCTAGCCAAGATTCCGTGGGGCAAATATCGAGCTGACTACGTCGTGGAGTGTACGGGGAACTACACTGACAAAGACAGCGCGGCAGCACACCTCAAAGGTGGAGCCAAGAAGGTCATCATAACCGGATTCAGCAAGGACGCTCCCACGCTCGTGGTTGGCGTGAACGAACGCGACTACAGACCCGAACACAATGTCGTGGCTATGGCCAGCTGCACAACCAACTGCATGGCCCCCCTTGTGAAGGTGCTCCATGACAGGTTCGGGATGGCGGAGGCTCTGATGACCACCGTGCATTCTCAAACCGCTACGAAGAAGTCCTTGAATGGTCCATCGTTGAAAGATTGGAGAAGTGGTGGCACCGCGGGGTTTAATCTCATTCCAAGCTCCACTAGTGCCTCTAAAGTAAGTGTACTTCGCCGTAGCCAATTTCCAATCTACGCCTTGAAAATTTGTCCGGTCAATAATCAGACTTCTATGATCAAGCTTACTGACCTTGTGGAATCACCCGAATGTAGGCGATCGGTCGTGTAATTCCAACCTTGAACGGAAAGATCCGAAGCGTAGCATTTAGAGTTCCCACGCCGGATGTTTCGCTCGTAGACTTGACAGTGAGTCTTAACAGTCGAGTCTCTTACGAAGAGATTTGTCAGGCAATCCGTGAGGAGGCGGAGGGGAAGATGAAGGGCATCCTGGGCTACAACGATGAGGACCATGTCTCCAATGAGTTCATTGGCGACACCCGATCCAGTATTTTTGATGCCAAGGCAGGATTTTCCTTGAGCGACAAATTGGTGAAGCTTGTAGCGTGGTACGACAATGAGTGGGGCTACAGGTACCATCCTAAACTCTGTTCTTAGAGTCCGAACCATCGTTTCCAAAACCGATTTCAACCCTCTCACAATCTTAGTCTCATCTGAAATCCTCGTCAGCGATGTATGGAGTGTTGTACTTCACGTTATCCATTTCAAAAGACTTACCATATTTTTTCAAATTTGCAGTCATCGGGTGGTGGATCTCATCATGCACATGTCCTCCGTGCAGCACTGTCGATACCATTTTTGAGACCTCGGTCGAAAACTGTAGAGACATGTAATACATTTCCGTACGTGAAACTGTAGAATGTTGACTTAGGGACAGTGCTGCGATGGAAACCCACACACACCCTGTCATTCACGTAGGTAGTAATAACTAGGGTAAGCAGACTCGAGAAGCGCAGCAACAAAAGCTGCCAAACTGTACTATAACAGTCACTAGAGGAGGCGAAGCAGTCCACCTCCGAGGAGGGCAGAGATGTTGGAATTCCTGTTTCATCCAGCAGGATCATGAGAGCTACTAGCCTTTTTTTCGTTTCTCTCCTGTAGAATACAAAAGTGGGTACTATCCGAAGTGCGTCGGCACGTCAATCTGCGGCGTATCCTGCTGCTCTTTTATTCAAGTTAACTTACTGTCTCAACCGAGGCAGAGTAGCTTCTGCACAGAAGCGAATGAGGAAAATCTTTTTCCTCTTATACTGTAAGCCCTAGGAGTTCGCAGTTCTTACTGCAGAAGTGCAAATTACACCCTAAGATGTCAAAAAAGCTATTTAATTCTGCATGGAGCCTTTGCCCGTGCTTATTATTTGGAATTTATGCTTAAAATTTCGGTGAATATTAGGAGGTGGAAACTGTCTTTCAAGGTCAACGAAATTCAATTTTTAATCATGGATTACTTGCGTTACAGGCTTAGTCATCGCATGGTGCAAACTTCAGAATCTGTGTGGTTAAAACAGTTTGGGTTCCTTAAATGCCTTGTACACATTTAAGTTAGACTTGGAGAAAAAAAACGACGTCTTTTCAACTGCATCTTAAATTTGGGGATTAGTTAAAGCCACCAAAGTTTTTACTACTGTCACCATAATTTGTTAGTCACTTAACATATTTCTTTAGTTTATTATATTACAATAAAAAAAAACTGTTAATATGTCCATGAGGAATTGGTTGTGGTGGAAGTAACAAAAATATATTTTTTTATTAAATTCTGACTAAATCTTTCATCAGATTGACATGGCAATAGCAAAAATCGTGGTAACATTAGCAATACTCTAAATTTGTAGAAGCCATGTGTCGACTACTGATGAGATCATGTTTACCACAGTCAAACATATTTCATTCATAACTTCCTATGTCCCATTTGCCGTTGTGGCATGGGCTATTATTACCCTGGTTTTCCCAATTGAAACAAGCATATTGAATTCGTTTTTGACCTACCCAAATTATTCATGTAGTTGAACAAAAATTTCAAAATTTCATCTTCCCGAACATCTACTCTAGGGGTTGATTGTAGGCGGGAGTCAGACCATAGTTGAAACTATTAACATGTACAATAATAATCTGCTTTTACCATTATTAGTTTATTCTTCATTAGTAAAGAAGTTGGAGGTGCCTCCAAGTGGGAACTTTTACACTATACCTTTAAGATAAATACCTCTAAAAAATCTTGTTCCAGAGCGCTGCCTATCACTCATTACACACAACAATCAAGTTTGCTTGGCCTCAAAACCATAATGGAAAAGTAAAAAGAAAACCAGGGTTCTCACCAGCAAGAGATAAATCAGAACAGTGCCAGGTATGGCAGTCAGATTCGCAAGCATAAATTGAATGCATAACGCCGTCCACCGACTGTTCAGTGTCCTTCAGCAACCATCTCAAATCCTTGTCACCGCAGGTCTGGCACACACTGTACCAGATTGTCAAAAAATATCTAACAAAAGCCTTAGAAATCACTGCATCCATTGGGGCCTCTGATCTGCAGGGCAGACCCCGTGAATGAAAAACGGGAACGGTGTAGACTGGTTGGTAATTCAATTAAACATGGCTGATGGGATATGTTATGTGGCCGTAGAGGAATAGATACCCAGCTGGTACGTGGTACTCGATGAACAAAAAATTCAAACGGCTTCTCGCACAAAAACATTTTAATAAACTCTCAACCCTGTGAAATTGCTCATAAATGTTTCTAGCAACTCCGCCCCCGCGCACCGCTGCGAGGACTGATCCGCGTGCATCGTCTCGTTCCGGCACTGCAGGCTTCGGCAGAAAGCTCATCAATTTCCCCTTTCCCCATTCTATTCTCATTATTATGATCCCTTGTCTTCCTTCTTCCAAGTCTGGCACCTGCAATCTCGACAAGCGTATCAGTTCGACAACGACGCAGAGCATCCCCTGACGACGCGACGTGAGATGAGCTTGCCTCGTCCTTGGTCGGTCCAAAACACCAACCACACCCATACCCGCACACAAATCCACACACAAATTCACACCCATACCCGCACACAAATCCACACACAAATTCACATGGTGTTGCAGAGTTCTGATTCCTTGGATTGCATCGAGAATTAGAGTAGTGGATGGTTTGCTACGGCTGTTGTTGAGCACCTCCGTTGATCACACGCGCTACTCCTCAAGACTTCATGATTCTTCAAAGTTACATCACATGCCAATATTCTTACTCACTTTCAAATTACCAACTGCCAATATAATAATTCACTTGAATTTCAATAACTTTTGATCTTGACTCGTTTTGCACAAGTATATCTACAAATCTATAAAATAAACAACCATAGATCTATTACAAATTTCATGATATTGCTAAAATCATACACACTACTTTGTAGATCAAAATGGTATAACCAAACAAAAAACTTGACTAGTAAATTGATTTTTTTTGTAATTTGTAAATACTACAAGTATTGAATGATCTATTTTGTCACAAGGTCAATTAATCTGGATATTGTGATAAAATAACTATACCTAGTCACCAACTTTACACAAAGATTATATTTTCTTAAAAAAATTAGCATTTGTGTTTTGTCATTCTTAAACCTTCCTTAATTTTATCTTCATTTCTGTATAAAACATTATTATTTTACTTGTTAAATCCTTTGTTATTAGATTTTTAATAATTAAAAGAATAATAAATAATTATATTAAGAATATTAATTATAATTAAAAAAAACTAGAGTTTTTTGATAGAAAAATGTACCATATTATTATATAAATGTTTTGTTTATAACAAGAGAGTGTCAATTTTTTTATTAATAATTAATAATACATTACAAATATTGCTCCAATTTTTTATTAATATATTCTATTTATCTATCAATTTAAAGATAAAAAGCTAAAGTTAAATTCATATTAATTTTTAATATATTAAAATGTATCTTCTAAAATCTCAATACAAATTGGTATATTTGATCGAACATAATTTCACTTAGATGTCTAATATTAATAAATAGTATCTAAAACAAATTTAATTGTCTCTTTACCTAGGATAATTTTTTTATAAGATATAAAATATATTTTTTTAAATTAGAAAATCCACTATCAAAAAATTAGAATTGTAAGAATTTAAAATTAAAATGATCTATAATGAAGTTTAAAGAAACAAATAATCATAGTTGTTTTAAAATAGATAGATGTTAAAGAAGTCTATTAGATCAATCATGTAGAGTATTTGTTTGAGAATAAGTATTACAAGATTAAATAAATATTTGACAATATTTTACATTTAAAGCCATCAAAAACTTGTTGAAATAATTTACAAAGTTTTATCATATCCAAAATGTTGTATTGCTAAAAAGTCATGTTTGTCTTGAAGTGCACATAATTGAAATTAACTTTTATGGAATATAAGAATATCTTTTAAAATAAAATTGGTTAAATTTGAAATTATTTTTTTTAGAATTATTATGAAGGTTAATTTCAATATCACAAAAAAATAGATCTAATAAAGTACTTGAATATACTTTATTAAAAAAAATAGTCTCATTAATGGTTGTTGACTTAGTAGCTTCAAGACAAAATTGTTTTGGTTTTAAAAAAGTATTTTTTTGTTGATCTTATGTAGCATATCATTTTCTATTATAAGATAAAATATCTAAAAAATACTTCTAAAAAAATTAGTATAGTTAACTTTTAATTTTAATTTTAATTTAATTTAATTTTTTTATATAATATTGAATATAAAAAATAAGAAAGATTTGCTTTGACAATCTTGGTAATAATTTGAAGCACATATTGATATGAAATGCTCAACATTCTTGTGATTAAGTTACATTTTGATTTGATAATAGCCACTTCTTAGATAGTAATACTATTCTTAGAGTGAATATATAAAATCAAGAAGTTCTTTGTTAAAAAATTAACATTAAATTTAGCTATTAAGAATTTTTTAAAATAAAATATAATAGGATATTTTTTTAAAATTTAAAATGATTAGAGATAAAATTACACTTAATGAAAAATATGATTCATTTATTTCTATAAAATATGATTTAAATAAATCTAAGTAGCATAAGATAGGATCCAATGCAAAAACTATTATTAAACCTTAAAATGTTATTTTTGTAAGTTATACATCTATATAACTATTTCAAAGTAACAAAATCATTATGTAACAAGTTGTAAATTGGTCCAAATGGTGGATAAAATCCTTCTTAAAGATTAATTACATAATCATAATGTTGATATTTTGCCAATATATCAATATTTTATTTTCAAAGATATTTTAAAATCCTTATAATGCTTTAAGATTCTAATACAACCTCCGTTCTAATAAGAAATTGATGTTGTATATATATATATATATATATATATATATTTATATTCATGTATAAATGCCTTAGTTTCAATAAATAAAGTTTGAAATTATTTTTTGGTAATTAGACTCAATTTCAAAGTAATAATTTTTTAGTTGTAAATCAATATCATATTTATATATATCAAACCAAGAATTGCCAAGCATCACAAGATTTGAATATAGGATTGGTTATTTAATTTTTTCATACTACTTTTAACAACTTGATCTCTTCTATATCTCCTCTAGATGTAAATTATTGTCTAATAACTTCTACTAGAGCCTATCGAATCTTCTTTAAGAATTTTAGTTTTTGTTAAAGTGTATAGTTTTTATCTATAATACAAATTGAGACTTTGATGTCTAAATATGCTTGAGCTAAAACATTAAAATTTGATTTTTAATAATTAAAAGAAGTTAAAAACAATATATAGGATGTAATTGTAGTATAAAAATTTATATTTGATGGTTGTAGTTTAGAGTTGTCTAATTGCAAGATTCTTATTATATTTGTATGATTTTGTTTTAAAAATTTATTATATTTAAGTTTTTATTTTACGTCATAAATCCAGTAAATTTAATGTAATAATCTTGTACTTTATGATTTGATTTGTATAATATAAATATATTTTATTTATTAAGGTATTTATATTTTTAATTTAAATTAATTGCTTGAATTGGATTGTATCTATTTGCATAGGTTTTGATCTTAAATTATAGTTTTTTAAAGACTTAGAAGTAATTGTCTTAACTTGATTTTTTCCTCTCCAATTAAATCTTTTTTCTTGAAACTTTTTAAATAGTCAACTATTAATTTTAATTTTTTAAGTAATAATTTTTTCCAATAAATCTACTTTTAGCATTATCAACAATAGATCTTTGATATTTTTTCAATTAGATTAAAAGTAATTGATTAAGGCTTTGTTGTCTAAATTCATTTTACAACAATTTTTTCGAAATTTAACAACATGGATAATAGCTAAATTTGATGATTATTAAAAAAAAATAGAATTCTAAATGTACATGTAAATACTTCTAAAAATGTTTTATAAAAATTATGAATTATGGTTGCAAATGACACATCTATAGTTTATTGTCCTTCCGTATATATTGATCTAGATTAGAAGTAGATAATATTAACTAAAACTTTCTTAAACAAAAAAATTCAATAAAATTATTTTAATTATTTTTAAAAATATAATAAAATAAATATTTTAATATTAAAATTAAATTAATGAAATAAAAATATGATAATTATAAATTAATTTAATATCTTTTAGTTTTTATTTTATTTTATTTTATTTTTTAAAAAGACAAAGTTTTAAAATTTAAAATTTTATTCTTATGAAAATATTAAAAATATGAATTTATTATTTTAATTAAACAAAAAAATATTCACATGTAATTAAATCTCATTTATATCTTGATGCAATTATTATCATTAAGATACAAAGGATATCACCAACATTCCTATGTATTAAGATACAAATGAGATTTAAAGGGAATAAAAAATCAATAAACTAATGCTATATATGGGTGATGAATCATTCAAATCAATTTTTTGGATAAAAGTGTCAAAGATATGAATCATAAAGAACCAAAGGATCAATTCACTATTGTGTTACTAAAAAAGAAATGATAATCACTCAAAGATGGTATAATTTTAAGACTAGAATGGCTATTGCTAAAGTCAAGAAGATTAGAGACTCTTAGAACTAGACTAAAAACAAGAGAGGAATTGATAAGAGTGAAAAAGGCTTTACTATTGCCTACATATATATATTGTCTAAGTAGGAGTTACATGGTGACATTCTATAGGACCTCTAATATGTATCAATCTATAAGAGACATGTCTAATTTGCAAGAAAAATCTCCCAAATGTGTGCAACATGGTCAACTTATATCATAAGCCACCAACATGTGTAATGTGGGACCAACTTATTGGCCAAGTTTTCAATCTAGCAATTTACTTCAAATATGTCTAAAATCAAATCCATGCCTATATAGCTTCTAAAGAGCTTCACTACAAGATATTATCAAATCTACCAACATTCATCTTCTATTTTACACTTCTTATTTAGATAATTTATACATATCCATAACAAAACGTTTAAGGCAGTTGGTTTAAGTGTAGAAGTCAAATACATACCATATGCATTTTTAAAGGTAATAATACACATAAATATTCCAAAACACGTGCTCACTCAACTCAAAAAAAAAAAAATGCTAAAATATCCTAAAGAGTAATTTGACCTATAGTTGTAAAATTCAATTAGCTTTGAGCTTATTGTTTTTTATGTTCTTTTATAATAATAATTACAAGGATTTGGACACTTAGCCTACAATATTTTGGCTAGTGAAGCCATCCACAATATCCAAATTTCAAATGGAAAATTTGATATTAATGATGATTGTGGCTTCTATCCAAACAATTAAGAAATTTTTCCACTTTGCTAGGAGTTGATTTCTTCTTATCATCCACCACCTTCAATACCACAAACTTCTTCTCTTTAAGTTTACCTTTGATTTTCTTCAGAGTGTGTATTTCAAGCTCTTTTTTCACTAAGACATTTTGCTTATTCTTTACAAACAATATCAAATGTAGAACCTGATTTAGAGACATAGTAGCCTTAAACTTCTCAATGTCCAACAGCTTACCTTTCTCACACAATATGCCCTACTCCTTCATTTTCAACCCTTAACATCAATGCTTATAATTATAGTAATAATTTAATTATCAAATATTTTCCAATGTTTATATCTGACCTTAAAATACATTATTTAAATTCTTTGTGATCTAAAGTATAATTTTAATTTTGGTTTGTGAATATTGAAAATATATAGAACCAATAACATTATCTAAGATAATATATATATATATATATATATATATATATATATATGATACCATTTTATTTGACAATTTATATAAAACTATTAGAAAATATACCTTGTATAATATTTTAGAATATTAATTTAAAAACACTATAAGATATATTGTTTTGAAATATGATGGAGTATTTAAAATTTATTTTTAGTTAGGATTATTTATTCTACTAAATTTTTGTAAAGTATTATTAGAAATATAATTAAATTATATTTTATGTTTTGATGTCAACTATTTTATATATTCAAATGCATTAAAATTTCTTCTTATCAGATATAATCAATATAATCATTTGACTTATGTCTTTGTTTGGCATTAATAGAATTTAATTGACTTTATAACTAAAAAAAATAAAAAATAAAAAATATTTTATTTTATCAATTAAAGAATATATGAAATTAAAATTTTATTCTAAAATATATGAGTTACTTGACTACAAATATATTTAATAAATAAGATATTATTTGTATTCAAATATGGTCTAATAAATTTGAAAAAAAATTACATTATCATAGTATTATCATAATAATATTTTCCATAAAAGGCTATATTAAATAAAATTTTTATGTATTTTAAAAAGTTCTATTGAGTTTTTTTACCATATTAGATATTGGGAGAGCATTTTTAATGAATATTCATCTTAACTAAGAATTTAGACACATTAAAACAAAAACGTATTAAAATCATTTGGTGTTTAGAGAATTATGAGAAATTTCTGAAAAAATATGTGGTTAAGATGGCTTAAGAAAAGTAATATGGTTTGGTTTGGTAAATCAAGTTATGAAAATAATTATAAATGATTTTTCTTATCAAGTTTAAAATTAAGAACTTGCTAAAATAATGTATTCTTAGTAAATAAAGAGCTTCTTTTGATTGTACACTTTCTTCAAAATGTAGGTAATTTTTTTGAAAAAAGTATTATAATCCTTGCCAATTGTATACTTATTGTATTTAAATTTGAAGGCAATTAGGTGACCTTTGTCAAGTACAAAATATCTATTTAGACTTCATCTTTCTATGGATGATAATACACTTAAACATATTCATTTGCAAGCTAAATCTAGACACACTTCTAGCAAACATATTTAAGAAGTTTAATCTCACTAAATCTCTCAAGTTAATGAATTCTTTTATTGGCCAAATAAAACACATCAATGAGAAGCAAAAATAATAATAATTCATAAATTAAAAATCTATAATTAATTTCACATTAATTAAAATCAAAATTTTAAAATCCAAGAATGTGATTTATTTATTTTTTAATTACAAAAACAGCATTACAAACAAACAAATAAATAAAACCAATATTTATCTCAAGCAAGTATTGTTAAATGCCTCAAGTTTAAGATGATTCTAAAAAGTTTGAATTCTCTCATGCTCAAACATGCACTTCACAAACTTTGGATAATTCTACGATGCGAACTCTAAACACTGCAAGAATTATCCAAAGCTTTACTGAATTGGTGAAGCAAACTCATAAACACTGCTAGAATTCTTACCATTGCAACCTAGCTTCTCAAGACAGTAGTAGTACAGTCGATGCCCTTCATCTGGTGGTCTAAGATAATATCAAGTCAGTGCAACATTATCTTAGACCGCCAGAAGAAGACATCAACTGCATTAGAAAAGTTGCCAATTCCAATCCCTCCTATAATATCCTAGCCTTGCTTGATGGAATGCAGTGTACAGTTAATCCTCTGAGTGAGTGATATGAACAGTAGCTGGAACGTTCAGAGTCAATGTTTTATCTCATTTAACTTAGTTTTTACACAGCGAGAATTCAGATTCCACTGTCGTGAAGTGAACGCTGGCTTCATGGTTGTCATTAGATATCTGTGTATTTTAAATGCACTTGTTAACAGCCCCACTGATTGGATTGCATTTGCTCTAAATGCCGCGTGCATCGGTAGGCATGATTCTGCAAAGCAGGCAAAAGCTGCTTCGGAAGCATGCCACAAGTTGCTTCCGTGGAGACGTTGGTCTAAAAGCAGCTGGCATGGCTATTGGGACAAGATTTCATTACAACCACAGGATGTTTCGTTTCCGAGGCCATGAACGTGAGCAGGTTATGGGCTTGCATGACCTTGTGAAACTGCTGACTTTGTCAAAAGTTAAACAGTCCTGAACGGGCCTGCAATCCTGTGGAGTCTGAATGAGCGTAAGAACAAAACACCAAACAGTTACTTCGGCAAGTATGGAACACAATGACACTGACAGGAATTTAGTACGCACAGTACAGGAAGAGTGAGCGATGTCGAATAGTCCGAGTAATAATTAATCAAGTCTCTGCATGACATGAATGAACTTAATCCAGCCTGGTGTAGGGGCATTGATATCGAAAAGTTTGTTTCCGTTCCCCCTTGTTGTGACATCGTCCACTCACTAATCGGCATAGCACTAGGAATCATCTCACTTTAAACCAGGTGGACACGGTCTTATTAAGCAAAATTGGGAAATTATACAAGCATGAGGGTTTTAAACTGGAGTTTCTTTCTACAGGAAAAGAGAGGATTTTCTCATCCAAGCCACTCCACAGGGGGTGACAAGTCGAGAGCTGATACAGGAAAGTCACCCGACAAGTCACCGCTTGCTTCACCGTCGCTAACTACATACAAACTGACTGATTAACTTAATTAGCCTAATCTACTTGTAATCTTAACATTGTACCAGTCTTACAAGCCAAAGGCGTGGCGTCCACTTCTGGTAACAGACTGCCCTTCATGCCAATTCCAGCTCTTCATATTTACACGCTGAAGCTTCGAAATCGAACTGTCGCTTGCATCGCTGAAGGCCATTATCACACTCCTCGGCGGGAGGTAACTCACATTGGCCACCAGATATCAAATGGACCTAGCCCCAGGTGGACCTGTCAGGTGCTGGGCATGACGAAAGATTTCCAACAATTTCTTTGCCTTGCGCCGCGCTTTAGCAGTCCCTGTACTAGCAAGCTCCCCCAATGCCCCCGCTAACCCCAGCTTGGTAGCATTATAGGCGTTGTTGGGATCGTTTGAGCACAACTCCAGGAGAATACAAGCCGCATTCTCTCTGTTCTGTGCATTGCTCTCTGCAACAAGGTCCACAAGGATTGGCAAGCAGTTCACGCGGCTTATCTCAGCCTGTCCTTGATGATGCACTGCCAACAAAGCAATCGTTGCAAGAGATTGATCGATCAGATTCAGGTCTTTGTCTGTCAAGAGTCGGACAAGGGGAGGTATTACCCCAGCTTCCACAGCCTTGGCTTTGTTCTCGTTCGAGATTGAGAGGTCAAATATTGCGTTCAGTGCGTCCAGCTTCCCTCTCCGAGTACCATCGATCAGCAGCTGCACAAGAGCCGGGATGGCTTCTTTGTGGTTTCCAATCAACACTCTATTTTGTCCCTTTGATGATAGGCTGAAAAGAGCTGCAGCTGCGTTCTCCCTCGCTTCATTGTCACCGCTCTTTAAGACTTCCACTATGGGCTCCACCGGCCCAGCTGCCATAATCACGTCCTTAAGATGGGCCTTGATTGAGAGATTGAACAGCAAAGTGACTGCATGTTTCCGGATTTCAGTATCCTGGGATCGCTTCAGGACTGCCACTACGACTGGAATTGCACCCTTATGGGCTATGTAGTCTCTGTTCATGGAGCTCTCCCTTGTGAGAGATCTCAATCCCCAGATTGCGTCCTTGTGGCCGTTCTTCTTCGACTCGGCCAGATTCGTAACCCAGATGTCTATCCTTCCTTTGTCATCGTCTGTTGCTGCCATTGCTACTTCAGTGATCTCCCCAGTGCTACTCTTCTTCCTTTCACCTTCCCCGAACTGCTCATCCAGAAATTGCTCCAAAGTTTAAAAAAACAAGTGTTTCGATTTTGCGATCACCCATTATTATGATGGATTGTATTTTGACAGCAACCGCGCAATTTAGGGCAATCAATGTGAGTTCACAAAAGTCCATGTAGATCTATCAACTAGCCCTGATGATAGGGAAATCATGACAATCAGGAGAAGTGAGCCTCGAGGTTATGCTTACCGATTCGGAGCCAGAGCCGGGGCTACACATAGTAGCAATCACAACACAGAATCGGTAGCAATGGCTTCTTCACAGCATTCAAGTCTCAGCAGTATGATGCTTGGATGGATTATCTGTCAAGTCAACCACACGTAAGAACGTAATTCAAGCGCAGTTGTTTTGTTCCGTCACAATGAAATAAGCTCTGCAGGGTGGAATTGGTCGCAATTGACCCTAATGCAAGACGGCAGAGATCCGTTTAAGAATTACTTTTCCTTTACAGTGATCCATCATAATTACTTTTCCTTACTAAACTGCGGGAAAACCTCGAAAATTCACGACTGCAGCAAACACTGCGCCACTGTCAAAGCAGGCAAACTAACTGCATCAAGGCTGTGCCAAGAAATCTAAATTAAGAAAAACGAACCTGCTACTAATTCACTGATGCGCTTCGCCCTTACAATTGCAAGAACTTAGAGAGCCGCCTTCAGATCCGACTACTTCCCTACTCATTCTTCCATAAGAATACCTCGGTCATTGAATCGGACCCACCTAGAGTGGTTATAAAAAGAAACCACACGTAAGTGTACAGCGTCCGCAGAAAAAAAAAAAAAAAAAAAAAAAAAAAAACTCTAATGCCCTCTCCTGCTTGTCTCTGAATCGCAAGTGATAATCCTCAAGGCTCGTTGAGCTTCTCCCACGAGATCGCGGAGAGTTATGCTGTAGGAAAGAAAATGGTACAACTCTGGAGAGTGGACATCAGCTATCCGCTTCGAGCTTTCCAATTCCTTTGTTTGGTCATATTATTCTAGAGACAAGCTTGCAGATATGCTGCATGATCCCCGCCACTCAACCGCCACAAAGCAAAAACCCAGATAACGCTCTCACTCGATAGCAAACCTTTCGTACTCTCCGCACAACCGAAGTTCAAGAACCGTGCAATTATTGACCGACGCTTCACATTGTTGCCCAACTTCACACATTAGATTCACGAATCTTACGCCTCACAACCCTGACAACTCCTAATTTCTAAAATTCTTCGACCCTCGACTGATGCTCCGCAAGTCGTACCCAATTTCGTAAACCAGGTAACGTGTCGCAGTTGCAGTGCGCGGAGTCATAGTCAAGCCCGCCTTTCCTTCTTCACACAAGTTCTTGATAGAATCTATTCCCCTGTGCACCCAACAGTGCAAATCCTGTCAGCCCCCTGGGATGGCAGCTCTGGACACACAGTTGGACTTGGAAGCCACTCAAACTGCACATTCCCCTTAATTCTAAACAAAATAGGTATAGAACTCTAAGAGGATAGCGTGAACTTAAGGTCTCGAGATCGAATCAACAAAAACAAATTGGGACACGCTTCGCAAACAACACAAAAAAGTCAGCTTCGAAACGATGGTGAAACCGAAGAGATCAGAAATATTGTAAATAGAATAGAAGTGAATCGCTACGCACTGTGTTACCGTAGGATCAATTACCAATACTTCACTATAACTCAAATCTGTTCCCTGCGCAACCAAGGCAGGACACCAAGCATTCACCATACTAAAAATAGAAGGAAATAAACAAGCAGATCATAATGGTCAATGCTCTGCACAGGAGCACCTAACCAAACCCTCATGAAACAAAGACGAAATTATGTCGACCAGCCAAACTCAAAAAACATAATCAATTCCTCAAAAAACCAAGCCACTCCGATGGAATTACAAGACGCTTGGCATTCCACAGCATCGTGTAAACAACGCACTCCAGCTGACCCAATGGTGTTCAAAGAAACAAAATAGACACAACGCCAGCAACAAGATTTGCTCGTCGAGCGCCTACCAAGCGACCCGGCGTTGAAATCCTCCCTCCACGTTTTAATTTCGATAAGCGCAATCCACTCTTCCTACAATCGCTCCTTGGGGAGAATCATTCGAAGATCGTAGCAGCATGGGCAATAGCAGAAACAGGTGCTTCCTCATCAAGTTAACGGCTGCAGCAGCAGCAGCAGCACAGCCCCTTCCAATGCCGAGACAAGTCAGAGGCAACGCATACTAACATTCCACGAGAACGAATACCCATACAACTTCATTTCCCGAATAAAACAAGAAAAAAACAAAACACCCAGTAAGTAAAAAAAAAAAAAAAAAAAAAAAAAAAACGCAAACAAAGTCGAAATGACAGAATTGGAACCTGCATCCAACAAGGTGAACAATCAATTCCATTGGTTCCTCAATGAGCCACAGAGTAAATGCCCTCCTCCACTCCTTTCAGCTTCTTTTCCCCGTTTCGTCAGTCCTTGATCTCCTCCTCCTCTTCCTCTTCCTCCACCTCCTGCATATCCTGCTGGAGGCGTCTCCTCCTAGTCCAGCCCCGTTTCCAATCCTCCACCCGAGCTCTTCCCATCCGCACTGTATCTTGACAGCGTCATCGAACACATAGAATATTCTCCGGCAAGCAGGGATGCAGGCAGACCATGGCGTGCCTGGATCCAACACCTGACGCACGTGATGACGATGAACGACATCCAACTGTTTGGCCCTCGCGATCCTCCCTCTCGCCATCGTCACCACAAGCCGCCCCACTCTGATGGCAAAATCCTCAACTACTGCGGCGCATTCTGTTGCACTCTTCGTCGCGAGTGGGAGATCAGCCACTAGGTCGCCGTCACTGCAGTTGCAGCCTTAATTCTTGCGCCATGCCTCGCCATGACACTGCGATATTGGCTTTGCCTACGTCGCTACGACGACAAAGCGCCGTCGCCTCATCGCGACGCGACGCTCGTTGGTTTTGCGACACCGGCGTTGTGACGATCGTTTTCGTTCCAACACCGACGACGATCGCCCGGTTTGCGACCATCGTTGGTTTTTCGACGCCGACGACTGTCGCCTTGTTGATGCAATTTCGTGGTTGAAAGATGTGCACGTTGTTCGGACTTTATTTTGGGGATTTTGTAGGATATTTTGTCACTATTTGTTAGCAAGGGGTTGTGTGTACTTTTCAGAGAAGGAAATCAAGAGATATGTGATTTTTTAAGAGAGAAAAGAAATGAAAAGGTAATGTTGTCTACAAGATATATAACTGCAATGTGGCAATTTTTATTTACTACTCAAGCTAATATAAAAAATGACTAGTTTAGAAGATACAAAAACAGAATAAATTTCTTCTATACAAACTAGTGTATCATTTCAAGTGATTATGCTTATTGCAGTTTATTATGAAAATGCATTAATATTTATTTTTAAAAGTAAAAGTTGTTCTTTTGAAAAATTAAATAGAAGTAGGTATAGGTTTCAAGAATTTATTAATTCAGTAGATTTTTTTATTAATAATTTATTCTTTAAGTTATTTAACTTATGTATTTTAAATTAGGTTTTTTAGTACACTATTCAATAAATGGGTTTCTTTTATAAATGTTATCATTTATAAAAATAAAAATAAAACATCTGATAATAAACAACTCAGATGCATTTACAGGAAAATATCTGTATGTTTGTAATAAATATAATGCAATTTGTATAACAATTAATAAAATTTAAGTTTTTTAAATGTTTTGTTTTGTTTGTTATGTTTGTTATGTTTATTTGTTTTTATTTTGTATCTACATGTGCTTTAAAAATTCAGTAATCAGAAATTAATATTAAATGCTCTTATTAATAAGTTTCTTTATACATTGAAATCTAACATAAAGAAACTTACTATTGATTTTTTTTTAATTGTTTAAAACCAAGTCAAACAAATGATTTTCATATCAAATGCAAGAATTGACTATATAGATTGTATTTAAAGTATTAAACAATTATACATCAATATTCCTATATTTTAGTAAAAAATACTATTATTAATCCAAATTTACTTCAAAAATAGAATATGTACAAATAAATACTACAAAAATAAATAAAAAATACCTTATAAGAAAAAGAATTTTAAAAGAATTGTACTTGTATTCTAAAAATATTGAATATATTGTCATATTTTGATATGAAAATCATTTGTTTGACTTGATTATCATATTTTCTAAAGACCTATTCAATGATAAATTTGACTTGATTATTTGACTTGATTATCATATTTTCATATCAAATTATCATATTTTCTAAAGACCTATTCAATGATAAATTTAAATTTTTTTTTTTCTAATTATAACAAATATTGTATAACTAAATATCTTTGCAACACAAACTTATAAAGGTTATATATTGTTATCTAAATGTGTTTTCCATTATAATACACAAGTTAGAGTTTAAGACTTAGAATGTAGGCCTTGAAATCTCTAGCTTCATTAAATCCTATATGTTTACTTGTTTTATTAATCAAGACTTTGCAAAGAATTAAAACATACCTTTGGTTCCAAAACCTAACTAATATATGGAGGAGTTGTAAATAATCAACATTCTTCTTCTAAAGATATTATATTTGGAATATGTTATATCAAAATACTTGTATGTGATCAAAAAATTACAATCAATTTTAAAAAATATCTATTATTACATGTTTATTGTAATTTAAAAAGAATAAAATTTAGATAGATTAGATTTTTATTTTCTATTTAATTTTAATAATAATTACTATATATAGAATAAATTATGCCTTTATTACCTGGAACAAAGGCAATTGTATAAGCTATAAATAAATTAAAATTTCATGCAACATCATTTATGCAACATCCATTCTTTTCTTGAGTAAATCCTCTAATGGAATAATCTAAGAAATATGAGAGAAAATTTGATGTATTTGAAATAAATAAATATGTGTCAATATCATATCTAAGTATTGCTGTTGAAATTGCACTCTTGACTGGTAAAAAATATTTGGATTAATTTTCAACCTAACACAAACTAAATTGATTTTTCTCAAAATAATTTTAACAAGAATAATGTCCAAAATTTTATAAGTTTTAATGTCTCTTTTAGGAGTATTACCTATCTTTGACAAGAAATAAAGACAAGTTTTTGTAAATGAGTGTAGATTATAATAGAATTATTAGATTTCTTTTATCAAAAACTACTATCTTTCATTTTATTTATTTAAATGAGACCATTTTATTATAAAAATATAAAAGAGTAGATAAAAAAATGTATTCTTTCTAATACAAAAATTCAAAGACACAAGTTTGCATGTCAAAATTAAAAATATGCCTTTTACATAATTCAAGTAAAGTTTTGGGATAAATAATATTATATAAACTAAATTACTTTAAAAGTATATTCTTAAAATGATAGAATATTTAGTCGAAATAACACAATTTTTATTCGGTTCAAAATTATAGATAAAAAAAAAGGTAGATCATATCCTTAAAATTTTATTCATATAGTTGAAATATTTTACTCTTGAAAGGGTTTTTTTTATATTTTTTTTGCTTTTAATAAATTAATTAAAGAATATTTTCATGATAAAGTAAATTTTAAACTTTAATTATTTATTAAAACAAGTTGCACATACAAGTTAATTAAAATAAAGAATTTATACTATTCAGATTCTTGTCATTCTATATTATTGTAATATTTTAATGAATTTTAATCAACATAAAAATACAAATTATTTATATTCAAATTATAAAAATAAAAAATAAAATATATATTATGATTTTGTCTCTGATAAAACAAAAACATAGAATATCAAAAATAAAAAAATTTGTAAGACACAATCTTATCTTTTTTTAAATCCATAAAATATAATATTTAGATTATTAATAATATATTTGTATATAAATTATATATATATTACATATTTTTTCAATTAATATTATTATATAATTAAATATTATTTTTATTTAAAACAAATTCTGAAGAAGATTTTTTTAAATACCATAATAAAGGTTAGAAATATTTAAGTAATTGTTGAAAACAACATATTGTCATATTTTCAAGCATTATGTAATATCTTGTTCACAAATGGCAATTCAAAAATATAATGTATAATGTGAAAAGAAGATCCAATTTAGATATAAGTTTGATATTATTGTGAATGTAATAAAAGAATACCAGTAGCAAGTTAAAAACAAAAGTGTGACAAATTATTCTTATGGTGATGATTAAATTTCTACCTATATATTTTAATTTTATTGAGAATAAAAGATTTTTTATTTTTTTATTTTTATTTATTTATTGGAATTTACTATCAACATTATGTCATTAAATAATCATAAACATCTAGTTGAAATTTTGATATATATATATATATATATATATATATTAATAACATCTTTTTGTTGCAAATAAAAGATGTGGTTTTAAAGTAATGTACAAAGAAAATTTATTTGCCAAAGGTAGAAATTAGATTTATTCTTAAATACATAGATTGTTGAATTATCTCTATTTATGCTTCTAAATCTATCTTTTCTACAAATAATAATTTTTTTATTTACACACCTAAAAATTATAAGGAATATATTATTACAATGATCTTTTTGGCAAAATGATTCTTAAATTATACTTTGTGAATTAATACTAAATCATAGATCATCATCCATAATAGAAAAAATTTAAGCAAAAAGCCTTGTTTTTTACTTGTTCACTCTTAAACTCAAAGAACAATAAGAAAAAGACAAACTCTTTTTAGATATATACTTTTAGATTATATTTTAAGTGCAATAGTTATAGATTCTAATATAAGTAGTGGTTGTAAGGTTATTAATGCAATTTTAATCTTAAGTTTGAATCCTTACATAAGCAAATGGCTTATACATCTTTTTTTATTAAATTATTACATGAATAATACATTATTTTAAAGTAATAAACTATCATGGACATATACATGTAAACCAATAATTAACTATATGATTTAGATAATAATAAGTAAAAATAGATTCATTCTATAATATCTTCTATAGAAGCTTCTTAGAAACTTCACAAACAGTGCTTTGACTTTATGGGTATCTTTAATTGACTTTTTAGGTTTGAAACGTGGTCAACAAGTTGGCCATGTGCCATACATGTTGGTAGCTTGAAGAACAAGCTAACTATGTAGCCCACATATAGAAAATATATCTTGTAAGCTAAAGCATGTGTCTTGTAAAGTCAACACATATTAAAGGTCCTATAGAACATCGCCACGTAGCTCTTAGTTAGATAGTATATATAGAGGCAAGAGTGAAGCCCTCTTCATTCTTGTCAACTCTCTTCTTGCTTCTAGTTTAGAATTAAGAGTCTCTAACTTCCTTATCATTTGGCAATAGCCATTCCAATTTTCTTTTAATATACATATTACTTCATTTTTATTTTGTCACTTTTCTTTTGACAAAGATTTCCGAAGTTTATGTATCTTCTTTTAGTTCGTGTCTTTGATAGATTGAATAGAGTACACTTATAATATTAGAGCTTTGTCTTCTCTTAATTAACAGTGGATTATGATTTTTTCTTCATAAGACATCAGTGTATTAGAACTTGTGGATTACCTTCTTCTAAACTAATATTATTCTTAGTATCTTCTTTATTCTTAAGTCTCCTCTTTTACTTATCTTGAGCAATATTAGACATTTATTTTTTAAGTATTATCATGGCACAACTTCTTGAAATGAAGAGTGCAATGATATAAATACAAGAGTAATTGAAGGAGTTAATACTTGCGATGAATCAACTCAATTTACTACCATAAGGAGCATCAAAAATGGTAGGAAGTGAAGATATAGATATGATTGGAGCTATTTCAACATCTACATCCATTCATGTCTTTTTTCTTACAATAGAATATCTTTTTGGTGTCATACTAAAAATCCTTATAGTATGTAAAAATTAATTAGAACATATAATATGTTTATAAATCTTGGTGTATATTAGAATAGTTAATAGATTAATTTAAAGAGAATTGATTTAAGAAACT